GCGTGTACACGTAAAAATACAAATAAATGTTCGTAGGTGCGCTTGTTAATCGAGAATTACTGTCGACGTGACACTATCATGTAATCCTTTCCGAGATTCGTATAGTTAATAATAAAATTTGTGCCTGCGATCACATATAATATTTTACAGATACACTTATTGTTTTCATTTTGTGCACAGATCTTAAATTAAATTCGTCAAATTTCGCGTGATTTGAAACGTGGAAATGATATAACATCGATACAAAAAAAATAAATCTCGAAGGATTATATTTGAGATCCGATTTGAGCTAGGTTTGAATCAGTCTTTCATTTGAAAAACGCTTTTCAAGATTTAATAAATCTGATTGGTTCAATCTTTAGTTCAAACTTAGCTCGTCTGAAATGAGGAACAATCGTGGATTGATCTAGGATTGTATGAATACGGATCGAAATGATCTACGACATGAGAAATGCATGAGATTTGTCGCAGGAGGCGATTTGTTGAAATGAGATTCGGTGTTCGATCGTTTCTTTATGTAATTTGACAAGATAAAGTCGATATCGGAGCGATCATGAATATTTCACAAACAAGTCCTCTCTCCTTACCCCTTAACATTTACATTCAGGATCCAGGAGCGAGCTTTGTACGTGTATGCAAATGTACAGTAATCTTATATATAGCTAGAGCTTTGATTATCTATGTGATTAATCGAGAATTAGGCGATAAGTTTGAGAAAGATGCGCTAAGGCAATATCGCTCGCAAAATTATGCTTACATCTGTTTGCATAAAATGTATATGTGCATGTACAATACGTACATATGAATATATTTATAATATGTACAAAAATCTATTATATATACATATAATAATCTCCTAGGAATAGTATAAAATATTTGAGAAAGATAACTGCGCGGTGACGATTAGAAATAGGAAAGTGATACTTTCATTCATGTTATTCTAGATGTTATTATGCCTCTTTTATTCGCGCTACACTCTAGAAACCTTTAACTCTTTGTACGAAACGTCTATTCTTAGATGAGAAATAGGAAATTTATTAAGGAGAAGGTGGAAAGGTTCTATGTGTAATTGTGCTTTTTGTAATGGTTCGTTTCCTGTTCGTAAAAAGCTCTAATATTAGTAACATATATACCTTATTTGTAAATTTTCTAATTCCAGATCGTATATTATCTACGTTTAAGAGAAATAGAATAGTAATATATTTTTTCTATTAATGGTACTTAAAAAATGTATACTTCTTAAATAATATCATTACGTAAAGATTTTTTGAAATAACAAATTTATAAGAACTGCTATTTTTAGGACAATTTAATCTTAATAAATATATTTTAATTTGTTCCGATGAAAGATTAAAGAGTTACAAATTTAGTTAAAATCTTGGTGAAACAGATTATCATAGAGATTTTGATGCATTAATTCAAAATACAAATCATAGATTATGAATATATTGACCTTAATTTTTTTCTTTTTAAATTATTAAGGTATGAGAAAAAAGGCTAGATTATGGATTCAACGAACTACTTTAGCGGACGGATAGATTTTATGAAAGCGAGAAGAAGTTCCCATAAGTGTGAGAGATCTACATATCAATTCTTTTATTATACTTTCGTGAAAATCACCTAGAAAAGCATAATAGTAACAATAGCATTATTTATGCTGCCTTTATTAAGAGCTAATAATAATAATAATTAGCTACATAGTAATGTACGTACTTTTTATTTTTCTCTGGTCATATGTATCAATGAGTCTCTATAATATAGAGTTTGATTATTCAAGAGTTAGAAATTTTTGAAGATAAAGTTTTGAAAGAATGTTTAAATATTTTTGTAAAATGCATTAATATTATGAGGTAACGAGAATGAACGAATGAATTATATAATTTTCTATAATATATATCTCCAAATTATTAACATGTTCCATTTGGATGGAATTTTCTCTATATCAATGTAGAATTTAAATGACTAATGAGAGGAAGGATAATGATATTGGTGATAAGGATGAGATTATTGATATTATGCTTATGATAGTGTGGTAGTTGTGGCATGTAAAATTTCGTTGATTTTGTGAAAACCTATGTATATACAATAACATCTATATCGATGTATATCATAATATCACTTCGCGAACAATCAAGCGTTATTTTAAAAGATTATGCAAAATGACTTAGTAATTCATTAATTACTTTACACGTCCCGATAATTGAAAACTATTCTTTATAATGATTATATTCACAATTATTAAAAATGATTGTTTTCGATTATTGG